CTGCTAGCAGCACGCTGAGCTGAAGCGAAAGACTGATCTTGTACAGCAGGAATTCTGTACTCAACCCACCCATTCTCCTGACGAAAGAAGTCAGGGATGGCAACCAGCTTTGGCTAGCTAGTCAGTTGGAAGGCTTGAAGGTGAGCGGAGTTTGCCGCAACCCATCATCCTTCGCTGTTGGCTTTGAGCTGGGCCTGCCGGTCTGCTTCTTCAGGTTCTCAATTTCCTGCTGTAGCTGCAAGATCAAAGCATCCTTTGCTGTAGACTCTGTGTTGTTCGTCTCATCCGCCTTGAGAGTTTCTGTTGCTGTTGGCTTGTCATCGTGTGTAGCCTTCATGGAAGACTGCACGAGGCTCATCATCATCTGCATGGTCTGCGATTGTTGCTCCAACATAGCTTTCAAAGCCACGTCAGTAGCCTCTGGCGGTGCAGTAGAAGTAGAAGGCTCCGAAGGAACTGTGGCTTCTTTCTCTTGCGAGCCGCCAAAGAGCCCCACGATGGCACGAGTGAGCTTGCTTCCAACTCGAGCCGACGGTGCAGCAGGCGCTGGCTTTTCGGCTCCATCGGCACTCGTGAGCTTGTTGGTCAGCAACGCGAACCCTTCCGTGATGGCCCCTTCGAGAGTGGAGTGGAGAGCTGCCTGGAAGGAGCCTTGAATTGCTTGTTCAAGGCCCCCTTGCCGCCCATGCTGGTAAGGGGAGGCACGGTATGGATTTCCGAATCCTTTCCCGTAGTGACTGCCTTTGCCGTAGCCTTTGCCACTTTGCCAGTTCTGATGGCTGCCTGAGGATTGATACGAACCGGCATTACCACGACCGTAATGCTTCGAGTGCCAAGCAGGCATGGCGAGCACAGACGTCACTACACGGGCAACTACACAACCCAAAGTATTAGGGGCCACCCAAAAAACCCTACTTGAGAATGCAGCCGGCATGGGCGAGCGAGATCAACCGCAGCATGCTCTAGGCACGGCTTCCTAAATCCTAGAATCCCTAGAACCACAACACAACCTAATCGAACCAACAAGGCAAGATTTGTGCAGGCAAACCACTCTCAATCCAGTTCGACAAAGCATGCGATGCAATCGAAGATGCAGTTGGAAAATGTGGCAGACTACACCAAACCTTCCGGATAATTTGGGCAGGATACCCACTTAGAGCCCAGATGCAGATCTCCGCATGCAC